GACGACACTATTTATTAGATGGCACATTCAACGAGCCAATGTGCCAAAATGCGGGTATAAACAATTATTGATTATTTAATATCGGAACCGAGATCATATAAGTTAATTGATTGGTTTTCACACACTTTTGAAACACAAATTATATGCCTTTTTACTGCAAATAAAAGTGCCAAAAAAAGGTGTTATTCCTTTTAATCATTCACATTTATCAATAAAATAAAGCCACATTTTCAAAACAAAAGTGCAATGATAAAATAGGATAAACAAAATGAATGGCATTTATAAATTAGAAAATTTTAGTTGAGAAAAAGAAGTGCAAGCAAAGGATTTCACAAAACTGAATTGAAATGTTATTTTTTTTACAAAAGTGCCATTTTGGCACTTTATGCCAAATTGAAAAATTAAGTGCTATTTGAAGTAAAATAGGGACAAATGGCACGGTTTAAGCCAAGTTGGCATCCCTGCTTCCAATAACTTACGAATATAAAAAGGTGAAATATCGAGGGCTTGAATTCATTAATACCCCCTATCTGCAGTTGGCACAAAAACTAATTTGTGATTTTAGAATCCATCTGGGACTTATTACCTGTCGTTATATAAGGTAACATTAATATCACTGATGACAGTTAAAGCTTAGGTGGATTTTTATATCAGAATCTCATCTTTGTGAAAGATGTGCAGATAGAGGGTATTATTGAATATAAGCCCTCGATGTTTAAAATATACAAAAATTTTATTTCAACGTATACAAAAAATAAATCTACCTGTGTTACAGCACGGCGGGAGACGGGGAAGGGGGGCCGCGGCTTAGCGTGACGTGGTGTGCGCGCCGGACGCGCCGGACGCGCGGGGTACGCGGGGCGCGAGCGCGACCCCGCGGCCCGCGGGGTGTAGCGCGCTAACGCGGGCCGCCGCGAAGCTAAGCAAATTTAATGTTTGAAAGAGAAATAATGTCAATGGACTTTATTTAGTTTTTAAAAGGGTAATAATGTCAATTGACTTTATTTCGCACCAGGGTGGGAAATAAAGTCAATTGACCTTATTTCCGTGGATCTTATTACCTGTCACCGATTAGCACAGCTGCATCCTTCAACTTGTCAACTCGCGGGAAATTCCCCGATTTGCAAGGAATTTCGGTTTAAGTGGCAACCGGGGAATGGGCAATTTTTTTCGGGGAACTGGGTATGTTATTTTTATATCTTAAAGTAACCAAATTAGACGGATATGTTAATTTTTAACCAATGGACCCTTTTTGGAGCGACATTTTTTCAATTTGAATCGCAATATCTCCACAACAAGAGTCTTCCCAGATATAAGCTATATACCAGATGAAAGCTAAGGTTTTGGGCTATACTTGTGGAAACCTAGAACAAAATCGACTGGCCAGTGTTTGAGAAAATTCCCGAAATGTATATTATCAGCAGCCCGATTTTTAGTTTTCAGGCGATAACGTTATTACATATTTATATTTTACAAACACAAAAAATAGCGTTAGATAGCTTGTCTGAAGACTCAGTCGTAGTTTAAATATTGCCCTTTTTCGAATTTCAGGCAGCAGTCACGCCCACAAAGGCATACGAAGCAAAACATCCTGTAGCGAAACCTTCTTAGATTTTTTTGTACTTTAATTCCTGAAAGTTTGAAAAAAATTTAATGAAGGTACGTACAGACGCCACATACATACCAAAGCATCTCGTAGTGGAGACACGAACCAAAACACATTTATCTCTATATCTTTCCAACTAGTAGCCGGAGCGTAACATGTAAGGTATCGTTTGAAAGGTATTGGCTTATAGAATAACACTAAATATGTTGGGTGTACCCACATGCCCCCTTAAACCGGCAAAAGCCAAAAAACGTTTTTTGTTTCGAAACACTTTAGGCTAATTTTTAAGAATGCGGTTAATCGTTTATGAAGCTTGAATAAATTTTCTGGACACACTCTGCAAGACCTTTCCAACGATATCTCAAACATGTCAATTGGACGTCTGGATAAAAACTTCCAAATCACGTGTATATATAAGCGAGTCATTTCAGCATGCTACTGTGGCTGCTTTCGTCACTCGCGCGCACTGCCGTGCGCTGTGATATGCATGTGCGAATCTTGAAAGGGAATATAAATAAAGTCTGATAAAATACAATGTTTATGTATCAGAATTTCGTTGAATTATTGATGTGTATACATCTTTGGTGTCGGTAAAGGTAAAATTGGCGAAGATGTAACGCATAGCCCAACAAAAAATTTCGAATGGCTAGACAGAGACGAACACATGGTGTTTGGCTCAGTGGCGAATTTGGTGGAGTAACTTGGGAACCAGTTGAATATAAACTGAGGCAAGCCAGGGACAAGTTGGGAATCAGGTTGGGACTACCCCCAAACTAATTACTTTCGTCTCAGTTGGCTGATTTGAGCTCCAGTGGCCGTTTTGAGGTGTTTGAAAGCCTTTGGAGGTGTTTTAACGTGTTTTTGGATGCTGGGAGTGCCGTATTAATATGTGTGAGCACCGATCTATTAATATCGTTCAATTATTTTAATATCTATTGCAAAATTTTATACAGACAAGACTAAAAAGTACAAAATAGTAAATAAAATAAAATAAAAAACTTTTTAATATACCACGCTTTTATAAATGGACTGAAAAGTAGAAAATATTATTTCTCAGTCCCATAGAAATTGTTTTGATAGCTTTTTGATTTTGAAATTTTAGCAAAAGTCATAATAAACAATTTATGAGAATGAAAATGAAAAGCGTGGGGCGCATGTAATAGACTTGCATTGATATGAAAAGTAATACATGTACGTATGTATGTGTAGCTGTAGAAATTTTAGGTCTATGTTATGTAGTTTGATTATTGTCAATTAAATCTAGTGCATTGTATTGCATGCGCTCCACGTTTTTCGTTTTCGATCTCATAAGTTGTTTATAATGACTTTTGCTAAAATTTCAAAATCATAAGTTATCAAAAAAAATTCTATGGGACTGAGAAATATTATTCTCTACTTTTTAGTCCATTTATAAAAGCGTGGTGTATTAGAGAGTTTATCTTATTTTATTTATTTCTTATTTTTTTCAAATTTGACCATCGGTTATGCCAAACATGTAGGGACAAAACGATACTAGTAAATACAAGTACATAGTCGATACTTTTCGTTCAACTCCAAATAATAATCGGAAGAAAGTACTTGTATCGAAACCCGATTCAGTGACAATTTTATCAGCGCTCTTTTATTTTTTAATCTAATTATTACAGTGAATAGCTAAAATTTTTTGACAGTTTATTTGCCAATTAAAAGAAAGTCCTACAAAGAAAGACCAATTATCATCTCATTAACATATCGCTAGCTTAAAGTGAAAAATTGCTAAATCCACTTTTTGTGAAAACTCATAGTTGGATATATGAAGCAAGGTAAATAAAGTGCTTGTTTTATTTCTTTCCGTTGTTATTAAATTAAAGGCAAATTTACTGAGTCCAAAAGAGGCACAGAAAAATCGATAAGCTCACAAAAAATTCTAAACCTTTAATTTGCAACAGAGCCTTCTGCAAAAATCTTGAAGAAAATGTTTTGAAACGTTTTTTTCCTCCACAGTCACCGACTGCCCTCCGAACCATATGGTCGATTCCACAGCGTAGTAGTGTTATTTTTTCTTTTCTTTTTCCTTTTTCGTCTGTGCGATTATTCTTTACTTCACTAGTTCACATTTACCTACTATTTCGTGTGACGTTGCTTCTGCTGATTTGGTTTTGTTTTTTTTTGCGTGTAAAATGAAATGTCCCTAGAGGGACCACCACTAGCTAATCACAGGTATTCATTTTTATCCCCTAATCCCCAACGAAAGAGGAAGAAAGCAAAATCAGTAACTACAGGGGTTTTCCCGTCTTTGCCATCAGCAAAAAAAAGACACCCCGAAATACCGTCAGTGTTGCCGTTTTAGCCATTTGGTGGCTAGATTTAGCCACCGCCTTCTTTTTTTTGCCACCAAAATTTATTTTTGCCACTAGCCACTTTTTTAGCCACTCCACCGCTTTTTTTTTGCCACCAAAATTTATTTTTCCTACTAGCCACGTTTTAGCCACTTTTTATAATGAACTTAAATGTTTAAGTTAATAAGTTTTTCCTCTTCCAAATTAATCAAAAATTTTCAGTTATGGATAATTTACTCGTGAGAAAAGTGTGGCATCGCTAATTCAATTTAGCGATAACAAACAATCGATTAAAATGTATCATTTGTATGTGTATACTATTCCTAGTTAAAAAGCGCTCTATATTCAAAGCTATTGCCGTGCAAGATTTTGTTCGCTTTAGAAAATGGACAAGTAAGTAAACACAAAACAATGTTTTCTGCGTTTCAATGCTAATTTGAAACATTTTTTAAAGATATTTGATAAAACAACAGCAGGTAACAACCAATGAGCACCAGGAGGATGAAAGTGACTCAGATAGTAGTCCAGATGAAGCCACATGCAGCAAAACTACAAAGTATGTACTGAAATATTGTCATCCGTATAAAATTCAAGCTAATGTGAATTAACAAACAACTTTTAATTCCAGAAAGTACCAGCAGAAATTGCGAGGAGCGTGGTTAGCAGATAAACGCTTACAAAATTGGCTTGTTCAAGATGGAGCCTACGTTCGTTGTAAGTATTGTAACTGTCGTCTTAAACCAAAAGTGTATGGACTCCTAAAGCACGCGAAAAGCATGAAGAACCTTGCTGCAGCTTCTCCATTTGCGAGTGGAAACCAGACGAAACTTACATACAAAGCGATAGTGAGTGACGAGACCTGCAAGGCTGAGCTAGCGAATGCATTATATGTAGCATCACATACTTCGATTAGGATTATTGACCACTTGACACAGCTTCAAAAAAATGTTTTTCAAGATAGTTTAATTGCCAAAAATATGCAACTACGGCGAACAAAATGTGGTGGTGTGATAAAAAATGTCTTATATCCCTACTTTAAAAATATCTTAATGGAAGACATAGGCAAAAATAAATTCAGTTTAATCATAGATGAGTCCACCGACATTTCCGTCAAGAAGTATTTGAGTATTGTCATCCGTTATTATAGCGCTAATAATGGCAGCATTGTGAACACATTTTTGAAACTGCAACATTTAACTGACTGCACTGCAACGGGAATTGTAGGAGCTGTTGAAAATGTGTTGCGAGAATATCGTTTGAGTTTTAAAAATATGGTTGAGTTAGGGACCGATAACGCAAGTGTTATGGTTGGCGTAAACAGGGGTGTAATTGCCCGTGTAAAAGAACGAAATCCCTTTATAACACTGGTACCATGTGTATGCCATTCAATACAAATTGCAGTTTCAACCGCTACAAAATGTTTGCCTAATGATGTTGAATTTATGGTTGGAGAAACTTACAATTGGTTTTCCAAGTCTTCATCCAGGCAGAAACACTATGAATCAATTTTTCGGGCAATAAATGATGATACTATACCACTAAAAATAACCAGAGCCTGTGACACTCGATGGCTTTCCATAGAGCCGGCTATCAAAAGAATCGTTGACCAGTGGGTGGAATTAAAATGTCATTTTGGCATAGCTGCTATATCCGAGTCCTGTCACAAGGCGAAAATTCTGTCCGACATGTTCAATGACATTAACTTAGCTTATCTAAAATTTCTCAAACCGATATTATCTGAAGTTCAAAAAGTGAACAAACTGTTTGAATCGAATGGGGCAGACCCAACCAAATTATTTTCAGAACTTGTAAGATTAATTACCAGTTTATGTAATAACATCGTGTGTCATTTTGAGACTTTCGATCCTTTAACATCAAATATTGAAAAATATTTAACGCCGTTTCCATACTACCACTATAGCTTTGAAGAACATATTCGAATTAAAAAAGAAAATAATACGCTGAACGATAATATAGAAAAGACCATACGAATTACCTGCAGAGATTTTATTTTGAAGTTGGTTTATCAATTGCGGCAACGTTTACCACAAAATATTGAAACATTACGAAAACTTGAATTCCTTTCTGCCGAAAATTCGCTAAAAATTGTAAAGCAGGATATGTTTAAGTACTTTTCGGATTTGAAAGTCCGGTATAGTGAGACTGAAATTGAAAATATCGAATTGCAATGGAAAAATATATGTTCTTATCCATGGAAAAATGTAAATAATACGCTAGATTTTTGGTCCGAGGTTCGACAGTTTAGAAATGCAGTTGGTGAAAATCCTTTTAATGAACTAACTGATTTTGTATATTGTTTGCTGCTTTTGCCACTTAGCAATGCCGAAGTGGAAAGAACTTTTTCCGCAATGAATATTGTTAAAACCAAACATCGAAACAAAATGAGTTTTGCAATGTTGAATGCAATTTTAGCTATAAGATATGGCTTAAAGAACGTACAAAAATGTTGTAATGATTTCGAAATAACAGAAGATCTCATTAAATTAATGAAGAAAGAACCGCTTTGTGAAGAGGAAGAATCAATTAGTGATGACGATAATATAATAGATATAGAATGTGATATCTAACTTTTTTGTTTTTAGGAAAAGTTTAAATATGAGTTGTATTAACTTTGTATAAATTTATGCAAATTTTTTTGTTTTTTACATTGTATGTAAATACTTTTGTACCTGAATTTGACAAAATAAATGTGAAACATTTAGATTTGAAACAAAAGTTTTTAGCCACTTATTTTAGCCAAAAGTTAACATTTTTAGCTATTTTTAGCCACTTTTAATATCGAATCTGGCCACCACTAAAAATTTTCAGCGGCAACACTGAATACCGTTGATACAAATAAGCCCCTGGATAAATTTTCGTGTTTTGCTATGCATAAAGCCTTGCAGAATATTAGCTCAGAACTCAAAAAAATCACGGACTTAAAAGATGGAAATTTTTATTAATGGTAAAAAACACCAATATTGCAAAAAAAATTCTGGCAACCAAACATTTGATTGGAATCTGTAAAGTTAATATTGACCTTCACAATGTGATGCGCGCGCCCTTCCTTCCCATCTTCCAATACCATGCACTCGAATCTTCTGCGCAAACTGCGCTGGTAACCACTCCGCTTCCAGTAGGCTATTCCCGAACCGACAACAAATGCTCAATGAGAGAAGCAATTAGAATACACAAATTGTAAATTCTACCTCAACTCAACGGGTACTCTACCTCTTTTTCCACTGTAACTAAAGACACTCCAATTTCACAACAAAATGACACACGCATTTCTTCACCACTCCCTACTGCAGCAGCAAACAACATTTTGAATATTGCACAGCAAAAGAGCACGAAAACTTCACCACTTCTTTCTTCATCCTCTAACAATATTCCAAATAACCCACAACAAAGCGACATAAAAACTTCTTGACCACCTCTCGCTATAGCCGAAAATTACATTTCAAGTAGCTAACAACAAAGTAATACAAACCTGTTATCATCATCTCTCCATAACTACAAACAGTACGAACAACACTGAACAAAATTTCAACGGAATCCACAATTGAAACCTTAATACAGAAAATAACAGTCACACTAGAAACAGCTTTAACCTCTCAAAATCAAACTACATCACCAATGAACTCAGTCGATGACTTCAAAAATGTCAACTCTTTTTCATACAATTTTTCTATTTTACGTAAAATACCCCAATCCGATTATTCAGCCGATAACAGCTTTTCCCCCAAACAAGTACAATAGCTATTCCAACAACCTCCCCCAAAATTCTTCATGCAAACAAGGAATTGTCCACTTTGTGAAAAAATCTCTCACACATAAAGCTATTCACATTCCATCCAACATCTCGGCTTTAGCAGTTGAAACAGACATTGGCTTTAAATTGTCTATTATAACCTACTATATCCCGCCCCATTAAACTTTTAATAGTAGGGAACTGCAAAATAGCCTGCTCCTATTTCCGCCTCCCTACATCTTTCTAGTTGATTTCAATGTCTGGAGCCTAGTTTGGGGCTCTCAAGCATCAAAACGTATAGGCGAAATTATTGAAGATATCATCCTATCCAACAACTCCATCGTCCTTAACGATGGTTCACCCACTCACTTTTCCTTTCATTGCACCTTCACCCATCCTGACATTACCCTCGTTTCGGCCTCCCTAGGACCCAAACTGTCATCCCACACACTTAGCGAACTCAATAACAGCGATCATTTTCCTCTAATTACCACCCTCAACCTACCGAACCAATACCAGATTAAGCTTAGAGCAAAATTTTTAACAGATAAAGCGGATTGGCCTAAGTTCCTCTCCCTTTCAGCCGAAATATGTAGCAGTAAGCCGGGTCGGCGAAAATCCTGCGGCTGAACCCTCCACGAGGGTGCCGACTGGTAATGGCCACTACAATTTAGGTTCTGTACGATGTCAGAATGGTGTCCAGCTAATTTCAGAAATCATTGCTATGTGCTTAAGCTCTTCAATAGCTTAGTTATATGGAAATAGTTTTTGATCGTGGCCTATGGAGGTTATGGAGGAGCAAACCTCTTTAAAAAAGCTCTGGGTTGGAGCAAAGTGTTAGACGACCCGTGCTGATTTTCAGCCTGGCTGGGGACCCAGATTAACAAATAGCCCAGTCTCGAACGGAGTGCTCCGGATACCTGGCGATCTCCGGTTCTATCAAGCCTTACCTGCCCACACGGACCTCTGTGCGGGCGGACCTTCTTTGTCCGACACTCGTGGGACCAAAATTATGAGTTCGAATTTTAAAAACACACAAAATCTAACAAGGAGGACGGCCGTCCAAAAAAACCGACAGGGGTGGCTCCGATTAATGCTACAGCCTCGAGCAGGGCATTGATCAGACCGTGAGTGACAGGAACTAGAGGGGGCTTAAGCTGTAGGGCTGGTCCTGGTACGAGTACCATAGGAGGCAGAGGGGGAGTGGAGGCTTGGGCAAACCGGTCTCCAACCGATTCACGTCTGGAGCTGCAGCGTCACCTTAACCCAAGGGCGGGGTGCGGCACCTGCTTCAAGAATAACCCGGCAGGATGCTGCTGGCATTCCAGGCAGCTCAGGGAAAGCTGTAAACACAGGCCTGGAGGGTCGGTTAAACATGTCCGCCCCTCGAAGCAGGCATATTATAATAAAAACGCGGTCACGAGGGTCGTGAACAGGTTCGGGGACCTGCCGAAAGAGCAGCTTACGGAGGAGCAGGTTAGGCCACTGGAGTGGGCGAGGGGAGTAGTAGCCAGCTTAGAAAAACCGGCACTGCTCCTAAAAGGCAGCGGTCTGCTGAACAGAACAGGCAGGGTAAAGGGTCGCCAAAAGACCGAAATCAGGCTGCCATAAATACCCCACCTGCAGGGACGTAGTCAATGGAGGCGGTGAGGTATTGGCCATCATCGAAAGAGGGGAGGAGGAAGGAACTATCCCCAAAGAGAAGTGGAGGTTGGTGGAGGAAGCGATCGCCGAAATCTACCTCCAAGTCCTAGAGGAAGATCCTGGACCTCCTCCTCTCTGCCATGATTCCGGTTGGTATCAGGGTAGAGCTAAACTCATCGCCTGCGAGGACCATAAGTCAGCCCAGCTCTACAGGTTGGCCGGGAGCCAAGCTCGAGGCCGTCAGCAAGGAAGATATTCCTAGCAGACCGAGGGCTGCGAGTTTGGATTCCGGCTAAACCCGCCGAGCCTGAAAGAAGTGAGTGGATCTTTAGATCCTATATATATAATATATATATAATGAGGACCTGGCACCTCACAATTGGAGGGTAGGGAAAGTAGAGGAGCCGGTAGAGACTAGAAGGCAGGTGTTGCTGATCCTCAACGCCGAATCGCTAGCCCCACTGGCGCAAAAGGATTGGGGGGTGAGATTCGGGTTTGTTGATGCAATTCGAATTCTACAGCAGCCACGAGCCGAGCTTGGACCTTGGTGGTGAAGAAGGGTTGCCCAGCAGCCAAGGCTCATCCCACTCGGAGAGGCTATGCGGTTCGGGGCCAATATTTTATGAAGAAGACCTTCTCGCCAATGACACCGAGGGTGAGGAGATCGAAGAGGCGGACGTGGGTGGATGTCACGATGGTGGTGGTAAAACGGTTAGATTCTGAGGAAGCTGATCCAGATCAACCTGCACCACTCTAAACTCGCGTCTGCGAACCTTGAGGTCCGCCTGGCTGCCGGTGGACTCGACGTTGCCCTCACCCAGGAACCGTGGATACACGGCAATAAAATCTGCGGGCTTGGGATGAAGGGCTTTAACTTATTGCCGCACAAAATGCAGTTAAGACTCGAGCTTGCATATTAGCAAGAAACGACTTAAACATCTTCCTGCTTCCACAGCTTAGTGACGGTAATCTGATAGCGGCAAGCATTGAGCTGGTCAAAACCAGCTTTTGGGTAGCCTCTGCCTACATGGCCCATGCCAAGGACGTGCCACCATATGAGTTTCGGACATTGGTCGAGGAAGCCGCCTACAAGAATAAGCCACTGGTTGTCTCCTGCGACGCTAATGCCCACAATTTGATGTGGGCGAGTACGGACATGAATGCTAGAGGTGAGTCGTTACTAGACTTCATTCTAGGAAACAAACTTAGTGTCTTGAATTTAGGCTCAGAGCCGACCTTTATAACAAAGAGTAGAGAAGAAGTTTTGGATTTAACCCTGACCTTTATAACAAAGAGTAGAGAGGAAGTTTTGGGTTTAACCCTGACTTCAGGCATGTTTGCACATAAAATCAAGAGATGGAGAGTACTGAATGAAAAATCTTATTCTGACCATCTATGTATATATTGAATTCGAAATAGATCTTAAGAGCCCCCAAATAAGAGAGTGCAGAAATGCTAGAAATATCTACTGGGGGGTTTACAACAATAAATTAAGGACTTTACTGCCAAAGATACCTCCCCGAGACACCGCCACACAGGTGGAGCTGGATGGGTTGGTTAATCAGGTTATTAAAGCCATGAATAGTTATTTTTCAGCCGGATGTCCGGTTCTTCGATATAAGGGAAAAACCAAACAACCTCGGTGGTCGAAACAATTATCCTCGTTATGTGAATCCAATAGGACAATGTTCAATAAGGCCAAAGCCACAAGAGCAACAGAGGACTGGGAAGCCTATAAGGCTGATCTGAAAATATACAAAAAAGCAGTTAGAACTGCGAAACGTAAATCCTGGCAAAGTTACTGCAAGGGAATTGAGGAAACCATGGAAGCGGCTAGATTAAGAAGAATTCTCGCAAAGTCGCCATGCCACCTCGGCTATCTCAAGGGTCAAGGGAACTCATAGACTACCACGAGCGAGGAATCTTTAGATCTCCTCCTGGACACACACTTCCCAGGTACCAAGCCGATGGAGCTTAATGACCCCACAAATGACGGGGCGCTATCTGATCTAGGAAATCGACTGATCACTAAGGCGGAAATCGAATGGGCTATTAAGATTTTTGGTCCTTACAAGTCAACGGGACTTGACGGCATACACCCGGTAGAACTGCAGCAATCACGGGTTATTATCTCCCCATTCATTGCGTATATTACAAGAAGCTGTCTTAACATGGGCTATATTCCGCTAGGCTGGAGAGAGACAAAAGTCTCCTTCATACCCAAGGCGTGCAGGTCCTCTCATACCAACCCTAAGGACTTCAGACCCATCAGTCTTACGTCTTTCCTCCTCA